CTAGTTTTCGCTGGAGAACGTTTAGTAGTCCCAAAATCAATGAGAAAAGAAATGCTGACGCAGATTCACCGATCTCATATTGGCATAGAAGGATGTCTTCGGAGAGCCCGTGAGGTATTATATTGGCCACTCATGAACGCAGAGGTTAAAGATTTGATTTCTAAATGCCCAACATGCCAGGCGTATCAACCGGCACAATGTCGTGAAGAATTAAAACCATACCCAATACCATTCCGTCCCTGGGAAACGGTCAGTATGGACCTTTTTGAGCTTGGAAAACAACACTTTATTCTGCTCGTAGACCACTGGAGTGGATTCTTCGAGGTCCAAGAACTTACGAGAACTACCGCTGATAAAGTCATAGTAGCCTGCAAAGTCCAGTTTGCACGACATGGAATCCCAGATACAGCGATAACAGACAACGGACCTCAGTTTTCTGCCACAGAATTTTCAGCATTTGCAAGAGATTGGCAGTTTAAGCATCTAACTTCAAGCCCTCGTTACCCACAATCTAATGGCAGAGCAGAGAATGCGGTCAAGACTTGCAAAATGCTGATGACAAAAGCCAAAGCTGCTGGCCAAGACCCATTGTTAGCATTTTTAGACTGGAGAAACACCCCCACAGAAGGTATGGGATCATCACCTGCCCAAAGGTTGATGGGGCGACGTACGCGAACACTGTTACCGACTCACAAAAATCTCCTTAAACAACCAATCAACGAAGGCACTAGAGATAAACTGGCTGCTCGGAAATCACGACAAATTTGCCATTATAACAAGACGCACCATTCTCTTAAGCCATTAAAAAAAGGTCAAGCTATACGAATGAAATTACCAAATGCAACAAAATGGACCCTTGGAACGTGTACCAGGGTTTTGGATAACAGATCGTACGAAGTAGAGGTGAGTGGAAGGAAATACCGACGAAACCGCCGACAACTCCAAGCATTGCAAGAAAGACCTCCAACACCACCAGCTGGTATGGATCCTGAGATTGGACCTGAGCAAAGCAGTAGGGAACCCGAGAACAGTTCGATTGTGAATGAACCCAATCTCGAACACGTACCACTATTAGACGGTGAAACCTCCTCTGAGACCATTGGAAATCTACCACGCCGATCTGCGCGTACAAAATATACACCGGTGTGGCACAAGGACTATGTCATGAAGTGAACGCTCTCAGCGTTAAACAACTCAAACGTTAAGTACAAGTACTTTATGCATATATACAATTCTATATTATACAGTAGTTTCATATTTTGTTAAAGGGGAAAAGATGTCACGATGTTATTAGGTGACGTCACGATGACGAAAACATTAATTTGATTGACAGGCGCGGCGAGCGAGGCGTACGAAAAAGTAACACAAGCTAGGCGTTTTATGTATTGTAAACAAATGACTATTTCTCTCGATTTCTTGTTAATCAGAAACTATATCGTAATAAACTAACACGTTACAGCATCTTGGCCAATGATAAAGAGATGTATTCATTTTATGATTGTATTCATTTTATGATTGTATTCATTTTATGATAATCTGAAAGTCGCATATTTGGTATATTATGTGTCATAGATGTAAACATTAAGAGATTATGTCCCCATTTTGGAGGTCTGACTCCCCCCTCCCTCCATTCCCCACGCAGCTGCGCCTGTGAATAAGTTAGCTGAGTAACTCATCGGACAGCAGGGTCTGAAATATTTTTTTGTTTAGTTGATCCATGTGGGAGTTCCCCATGTGAAAATGGTGGAGTATGCAAGCCAAAGGGTCGTGACTATGTCTGTGATTGCAGGAAAGCTACGAATGATATGTCTGTGACTGGATTTCAAGGTCCAAACTGCGCCAATAAAGGTGAAAAAAAATTCTTCTGCTTTAAATTTCTTGTAGGACTGAACGATGATGGAAAGATTATGCCAAAATCGGAAACTCCCGATTATTCATACACACACAGTCTACCCAATAGCAATTCTATAATCACGTCATAATATTAACCGAGCGATTTGTCAATGTTAAATGATAATTTCCAACGTAACGTATTACTGCAACCATGAAATGGCTGTTCATAAAGTTAATAAATGGCATGTGCTACACGCATTAATTTCGTCGCGTAAAAATCAACAATCGGTTTTACACAATCAGAAATAAAGATAATATTCGATCCAAATTCTGATAGCGATAATCGATAAATCACTAAGATAGGATGATGATGATACAGATTATAACTAGTACTGCTGTGGTTCTGACCACGAATGCAAATTAACAAATCAAATGTTTATCGACCTTCTTGCAATTTCTCTGTCGTAGCCATGAAAGCTTTATTAATTAAAACATTGAAACATTTATTAAAATTGCCTTTTCCAAAAAGAGATCACAGTGCATTCTGGGATCGTTCGAAGGGATAAATTTATGGTAATAGGCGCCAAATAAAAGTATCTACTATAAAATATCAACTTTTTAGACGCCAAAAAATAAAATATCTCCTCAGTTTTAACATTAAACATTTAATTTAAATGTGTGCTGCCATATTTCTTGTCTTTCCAACATGGGATTGGCGCGACTAGGCCCAGAACGTTGGTAGACTAATTTATTTACTTTTGTACACGTAGATGAATTTTGAAACAAATAACTATCTTTTTCCAACAATTTGCATGTTCAGATACTTCATATCATTTAAAATATCGACACAATTTTGCAGGATTTTGGACGACAACTTCCAAACTAACTCCTCCAAATCACATTGTTGGTGACCTTTATGGCAATCTCGGAGCACGTTTTGTTGACCTTAATGGCGACGGACGCATGGATTTTGTGTACAACTGTTGGATTAAAACGAAGAATGAAAAAGGAGCTTACCTAAACCTTCCTGGAAAAGGGTTTTGTTCTGCGCCTCAGTTCACTCCACCCTATCACATTGCTGCTGCTAATCACGGTGACCTTGGTGCCAGATTCGTTGACTTGAATGGCGATGGCAAGGCTGATATGGTATATCATAGAATTTACAAACAGACAACTCAGAAAGGTGCGTATCTCAACACTGGGAATGGGTGGCGTTGGGCCCCACAGTATACTCCACCATTCCATATCGCTACTTTCGATGGTAAGGAAGATTTAGGTGCACGGTTTGTGGAACTTAACGGTGACGGTAAAATTGACTTTGTATATCATCGGTGGCTGAGCGGAAAGAAGCAACAAAAGGGAGCTTATCTTAATACTGGTAATGGTTGGGCCAGTGCACCAGACTTCATCCCACCATTTCATATCGCCGCTCCTGGCCATGGTGATCTGGGAGCAAGATTTACAGATCTCAACGGTGATGGGAAGGCAGACTTGATATACAATCGATGGATAAATCTCTTCTCTCAACAGAAAGGGGCGTATCTCAATAACGGCAAGAAGTGGGTCTGGGCGCGACAATATATACCTCCACATCAAACTGCCGTTGACGGTATAGCTGACACTGGATTGAGACTGGTTGATTTTAATGGTGATGGGAAAATTGATATTGTCTATTATCGCTGGTTGAATGCTTTAGTGCAACAAAAGGTAGGCTTACCTTTAAGTATTCAATCAGTGCGTTCTGCTTAACGCCACGCTTGCACTGGCCCGGACAGCTTTCCATAACGAAAATCGCTTTCTGTACCTTTTTAGGAAAGCTATTTTCAAAGAAATTATTGCAACGGAAACATGTTGTTTTGCTCAACTTCTAAAAGTTGTACATTTCCTATCGGATAAGCGCTTTTCTTCACTGCTACTGAACGCTATCCGGTATAGTGGAAACATAGTCTAAATTATTGCAAAGCATAATTAGTTTGACTAAACTACTAAAGCAGTTGTTTCTTTATTAGTAAATGTTGTCCTGTTTCGTTATTTTATATTTTATGTATTGCCAGGCTAATAAACAATGTTTCACCAGAGCCAAATTATAGCCCTTTGAAATGTGCAAAGCACCAAAACAATGCGCATACTGATCCAATATTTAAAGAATTACGGTGTCTGAAATTTGATGATATTTATTTATTTCAATTAGGTATGTTTATGTTTAAGTATTCGAATAAATTACTACCTCAAACTCTTGATGACATATTTGTGCGAGGGCTGGAGAATTTTATGTACCTACATGTAGAACCAGATTGCGCCAATTTTCTATTAACTATCAAGGCCCATTATTTTACAATGCTCTTAGTTCAGAGATTCGTGGAGCATCAACTCTCCTTTGTTTAAAAAAAATTAAAGTTGTACTTATTTGCACGTATACATACTATTTGACGTCATATATAGGCAGCATATATCTGTCTCTGTATATTCAGTTTTTTCAATTAGTTTTCTTTATCTTTGCTTTACTATAATAGGAAGTATACCACCCTCACCGCGCAATAACTGCTTATTATTTAAATCAAGTCAATATTTGAGAGGAGCCCAAAGCATTAATAAGCCGTTTGGTTTCTATTTGTGCTTCTCGTCACTTGTCTATTGTATGTAGATATATATGTATGTATGTATGTATGGTTTCTTGTGACAAAATCATTAAATTTTATATTCAATTTGCAAAACTGTGGTATTTTTAAGACTTTATTTTCACGACAACAGACAAATTTGATAAATTAGTTTACATCGTTTATTTCCCATGCAATTATTCACAATTTTGTATAACGTTATTTATTTCGTTTGTTGTAATAAAGGGTGCATATCTCAACAATGGTAATGGCTGGACAAATATGCCTTCATACACCCCACCTTTCCATATTGCCGCTGACAAGTACGGTGATCTGGGGGCGCGGTTTGCTGACGTCAACGGCGATGGTTTGATAGACTTTGTCTACCACAGATGGATAAGCAGCAAGAGACAACAAAAGGGTGCTTACATCAATTCAGGTTGTGGATGGAGGTCAGAGCCACGGTATATACCACTGTTTCACATTGCGGCTGACGGGTTTAAGGACCTGGGTGCAAGATTTGTGGAACTGAATGGAGATGGGGCAACTGATTTTGCTTACAATCGTTTGGTGTTCAATAAGTCAACACAGAAAGGAGCGTATCTTGGTAAGTTAAAATGGTTCAAGTGTAACTATATAAACTTTCTCCAAATCAGTTCTTTGTTGGTTTGCATGGCCATAAAACATATAATACTATTGTTTGTGGAAACACCACGTAAATTTATTACTGCAAATTTAATAATATGACTTGTTCAATTCACACGCCCTTTTGTATACCAAAGTGTCGTGATCTGTTGGCTCGCGTCATTTGTAATTTAATTAAACGGTACATCAACCACGTCATTTCAAACGTAGTGAAGTGATTCTAATTAACGCGCGCGAATCCAAAACAAGAAAAACTAATTTTGCACATTAAAGGGAGCACGCGTCACTAGTATCTAGTAGCTTTCCCTCCTGATCCAAAATATTGTGCTTCTCGATTTCAAATTGACTCTTTTATATTGCGAGAGAACCTATGTATTGTATTTGTATTTGTATTAAAACTTTATTTTAAGACACTAGCCCCGTCAACGGTGCGTTGGTTTCCACGGGGGGCGTCTACAATGTTAAAAATTACAAAAGATATAAGGGAAAAGAAGACTATTTACAAATTGGTGTGACCCCAGATGTTATGGTTAGACGGAGTTACAATTTATTTCAAATATATATAGTATTAGAGTTAAGTTTTAAATGGCTTTTGAACAGGTGCATTGATTCTGCCAGTTTCGTATCGATAGAGAGACTATTCCATAGCTTAGCCCCACTGTATTTAAAACTCTTTTTTAGGAATTCTCTTTTAGGCTTAGGAAGAGCCAAATCTGTATGACTATTTCTAAGATCATAATTTGTTTGCATATGATTGCGTCTTATCAAGGATTCTTTCAACGTAGGTCCTACGTAATCCTTCAAGACTTTAAACATTAATATTGCTTTGGTTGTACGTCGTCTTGTCTCTAAATTGTCCCAAGCAAGAGATTGAAGAACATCAGCAGATCTAATCTCATAACTTGCACCGACAATGATTCGGGCTGCGCGATTTTGAAATTTTTGGAGTTTATTTTTCAAATTTTGATCACAGACGCCCCAAATGGGAGAACAATAATCAAAATACGGCTGAATCAGAGCTCGATAAATTGTTTGAAGGGTGGTTATTGGAACAAAGGGTTTAATACGTCTCAAAGTACCCAGGCTTGCTCCAACCTTTTTGCAAATCGCCTGAATATGTGAATTCCAGTTAAGATTTTCATCTAAATCGAGACCAAGACATGTGAAAGAGTGAAATCTGGGGATGCGTTGGTTATTTAACATCACTGGATGATCAAAAGTTGTGGAATTAATATGATGTTTAGAGCCAATGAACATTATTTTGGTCTTAGTTGGGTGGTGTTGTAATTTATTTCTAGAAAGCCAATCACCGATTCTACTCAGATCGTGATTAAGGTTTTCGGTTAATTCAATCAAACTGTTAGAGCTGCAGCAAATTTGGGTATCGTCAGCATATAAATAAGGAGTAGTTTTTTGAAGGCATTCGGGGAGGTCATTGATATAGAGTAAAAATAACAGTGGACCTAAAATAGATCCCTGCGGAACCCCAGAAACAATCCGTTTTGACGATGACATTGAATTATTAACAATACAGACTTGCTCCCTATTATTTAAGTAAGACTCAAACCATCTTAACTCAATATCCGATATACCGAATTGATCTTTTAATTTATGAAGCAGAATATTATGATCAATTGAGTCGAAGGCTTTACGAATGTCAAGAAAAACAATGCCGCTCAATTGACCATTATCCATATTTTCATAAAGAGTATCGCACATCTGAGTTAGAGCGGTGAGAGTTGAATGTTTAGGCCGAAAACCATGTTGATGTTTTGAAAGAAGTGAATTGTCATTAAGAAATTTATAAATTTGATTAAAAACGCATCTCTCAAGTATTTTACTAACAATGGGTAGTATCGAGATAGGGCGATAATTCTCGCATTTCAACCTGTCATCAGATTTATAAATGGGTGTAACCCAGGCTTTTTTCCATTCATCCACATATTCTCCTTTTTTGATCGAAAGGTTAAATATCCAAGTTAATGGCGGACCAACAATGTCCGCGGATATTTTAAGAGCTTTAGCAGGGATGTTATCTAATCCTGTGGATTTTGAAATTTTGAGACCACGCAATTGATATATTACTTCGTCCTCGTTAATTTCAGAAAATTTGAAAAAAAGATTGGAGTCGGTAGTAGGCCTAGAATCTCCGCGAGCAAAAGAATTTGTGTTGAGGGAATTATCTTCAATTTCAGCTGCAAGTTTTGCCCCGATATTGACAAAGAAATCATTAAAAGCCTCACATTTCAATTTATCGTCTGAAATGACAGAATTATCCGTTTTAAGTTGGGATATCGTGTTTGATTTCACATTTTTACCCATGAGGTGGTTAATTAAATTCCAACTTTGCTTTATGTCTTTGGACTGAGCACAATCTTCTATTTTATTGCAGAAATAGTTTCTTTTAGCTTTAATTAGTTCAGCATTAACTTTGTTTCGTAATTCCTTATATTTTGTCCAATGACTTTGAGAATTATATCTAACCGCTTTTATTTTGTGGAAGTCTCTTGATCTCATTATACCCTTGATGTCTGAAGAAATCCAAGGGAGAGAATTTCCACGAGTTCTCATACGTCTAAGGGGAGCGTGTCGATCAAGGACCTGGAGGTATAGTGATTTCCATACCTGCCAGCATGCATTAGAATTGTCATGTTGGGCAATGTTCTCCCACGGCATCTGTGAAAGATCCGTAAGAAAATCATTGGCATTGAAATTTTTAAAGTTACGAATATGTTTAACCTTTTCCCGTGATTTGGGAATACAATGTTTTCTAATAGCGAAAATCATACTGTGATCAGAAAGTCCAAGGTGTATGACACCAGACTTTGAAATATTTTCCTCTTTATTTGTCAGAATTAGATCAATTAGAGTTGCTGATGTTCCAGTAATCCTTGTGGGTTCATCAATAAGCTGATCGAACTGATAAAGTGATGAAAGGAACTGTAGCTTGCGAGTATGAGACTCACAAGGAGATTTCAAGATATCACAGTTCAAATCACCCATAATTATTACCTCTCTATTTTCTATATCGCTATTTCTTAAAAAAGCCTCATATTCATCAAAAAGAGCAGATTGCGAGTTAGGAGCTCTATACCAAGTGCTTACTAAAAATGACTTATTGTGAGGTTTACTAATTTCAATGTATATATATAACTATATCAATCGTCAAAATGGTTGCTTCGTCCTATTTTATGCGATGGTCGTAAGTCCAAATGTGTTTAGCCATTTAGCATTTTAATATTTGTAAAATTCCTGACTATATTGCGAATCACGTACAGTACGACGTCTTTATCCGATTAGTTCCAGATGGTTTCAGTTGAGAGACCAAAGATAAATGAATAATTCGCTTCGCGCGAAAAAATTCGTAAATGGAAAACCGGCATAATATGTATACACACTTTGTGATTTATAGTTTTGTGAAAAGTGATCAATGCTTATTGTCTGTTATTGTCACAATCAACCAATAACAAAACCCATTTGTATGGATCGTCAGTAAGTACTATTTAGTAAAACACGAGTACGAGTGCTTTATCAGATAATAGAACAGGAGCGCGCACCTCGAGTATTTTCAATCTGCATGATAAAGCGCGGACTGCGAGTGTTTTAAATGGCTTAAAAACGACCCACTAGCTGATGAGCACATTGGCGATGTAATTTTAAAAATTAGCGTTGTCTAAGTCGAGAAAGCTAGTAAAGTTCAAGTAAGTGAACATGATTGTTTATTACATAGAAAACCACCGACACTTTGTGTTTTCCGCAAGATTTATGATTTTTAATTATATTTTATAACGGTGTTTGAAGATTGTATTTAAAATATTACGTAGCACTGAGAGCGTTTTCTCATAATAAACTATGAAAATGTATTACTGTTAAACGTGTTCGCGCGTATGATCATGGCGAAACGTTTGGTTGCAAAATACAGAAACTGTTAAAGGCGAGCGGCAAGGATCCACGAAGTCTAACTACGATACCAGTGCAAGTATACTCTTAGATACTTTGCGGTGGGATTGTCTTTTTTTAGCTAGGATATGTATATTGCCTTCAACTTCCCTTCCCTTGTACTGACTCCGGCAAAAGAACATTTCTTTATAGTGTTTCCATTATTTTTAATGCCTTAGACAGTGATTGTAAACAACTTGCCATTTCACCTTCATGCTCTTCGGATGCTCTCATCTCAAAAATAACTAATGCCAAATAGAAACTTCGTAAAATTATTTCTTAATAAGCTTAACCTTACTAACCATCTCGAAGACCTGTTTTGTAAAAAATATAAATATTTACTAATATTGTAAATGTATTCATTATCGAATTACTTTTGTTCTCATCTTGAAATAGTAGTAACCATACCTGCATGTTATTGTTTCTAAATATTGTAACATTATGAAGGCCGTATGTTAGATAATTATTATGGTTAATACCAGCCTAGTCCCAGGCTCTCTCTCTATTCGCTGCTTTGGTATATTTAAATAAGTCTTAAAAGTTTTATGCCTGGGCGTCCATGAGGAACGCTTCAGCGACTGACGCACCTTTAGCGGTGACGTCACACCTAGGTCCCAGTCTCGTACTACGTCCACGTTTTTTTCTCGCGCTCGCTTCAGAACGACTGGGACTAGCCTGGGTTAATGCGTTTCCTTCGTGAAATAAAGTTTTTTACTTTATTAAACTGTACTTTATTACTATACTGAAGATTTTGGCGTGTTAAATTAAATATATTTTTATTCTATTGTATTATGATACATTATTGATGTTATCCAAAACAATTCAACTACATTATATACTTAACAACCTTGTACCCTTGACATTTATCTTTTAGCATGTGGTGATACCAACCCAGCGTTTTGCCTGATTTACTCCAAATATTGCTCCTTGTGGAAGGTAGCTCACAACATGTGCAGGCGCACCTGCAACACCTGTCAACTTTAAGGTAAGTGAAGTTGAAATAGATTATGTTTGTGTCACAGAGAATATGAGGGAATAGAGAGGGCATTGCTCGATAAATTAAGGGGAAAATGAAGCTTGCTAATTTTTATCTCGGATGTAAACTCCCACACCAATTGTCTGCCTTAACCATGGTTCTCGCTAAGAGGGATCAAATATATTCATTCCTATGTACTGTCCTCACTATACGACAGAACAGAAGCATAAGCATTGAATACCAAAACGTTGTGTTCTATTCAATATGCTTACGTTGTTGCTTATGTTTGTGATTAATCTTGCGTTGTATCGAGGACAGAAGAACAACACAAGCATAAGAACATCAAAGCTTTCCGATTGTTTATCATTGCGTTGTCGTGCGTAAGTTGTGAGCTTGATTGACACAGTACAACCCGAGTTGTGTGCTTGATTGACACAGTACAACTCGAGTTGTGAGCTTGATTGACACAGTACAACTCGAGTTGTGAGCAGGTTGCATGTGACAGTTTTAGGCAAAAGTTGCGTGTTGTAAATCGCTTTTAAAACTTTTAACTACATTCTAGTGCAAAGGTCTTGTGGCGTGTTCTAATCGCCATGTTTTTCATTCTTTCAGGTATTCCACAGGCAGAAACACTTCAGAATCCGCCAAAGCTGCAGGTTCAAAATGAAAATAAAATGTAACTGATATTTAAGTTTGGTTCTTTAACATTTTTGTGTGCATTTTGAACGTTTTTGTTATTCATTCTCTTTTGAGTTATTGAGTATAGTTTAAGAAATTCACGTGAAATTAAAATAATATTGCATTATAGGATTCACATAATTGAGAAACTGTAGCGTACGTAGTGTTGCGTAAGTAAGAGACTAGTAAAATACACTTTAATGCTCCTCGAGCGTGCTTACTTTTCTCTTAAATTGTAGAAATTTTGTAATCATATTTGATAAAATTAAAACTGTTACGTGGAGCTCGAATATGTAGTTATCATCCACTTTTTTGACCGAAGTGAAGAAATTTTCTGATATTTCTGAATTATTGTGCAATTCATGAATAATCATCCCTAATTATCACCCTGTGTACTTTGCACCAAATAATTGACTTATACGGCAAAACAGCCAACAATTAGATCTCAAAATCCGATTTGATGTTTGCAGTTAGCAGTCTGCCGTAAACGTCAATCTTAAGGTCCCTCAAAGATAACATGCCCATGCCATGTTGCTATAATAATTAAAGAACGAATTCTTGACTAGTGGTTGTAACACGTCTGTTAGGGTGTCGATCCGTATACCTATGAATCAGCGTATGATTGGTTATCACAATAAAATATATATAGCAATTCTCCTTCTCGAAGAACGAGTCATAAACTTTGATCACCTTGCTTCAATCAGTAAACTAACCAGAAAACATGTCCGCATGGGCAACATGTATTTACCGTCTGTTAGAAGAGTTAGCATATGAAGAGGTCATTTGTATGGGCTAACAAGAGCTATGTGTAAAAGTCATCTTCGAAATTTAGTTAGGTGCAAGCCCTACAAAAAATCCCGGAGTATTTTGACCAAGAAAGTTGAGTAAAAAGATTGCAAATATAACATTCACGAGGACATTTACCGTATTTACTTAGCCTGTGTAGCAGATGGGGTATTTTTTTTGGGGGGGGGTCTTGCGGGTGGGAAAATTAGGGCGGGAGAACTGCGCGCAGGCGGAGAAAAGGACGGGCGTGTAGCTACCGGCGACTAAACCTCCCTCGGTTTGCCGGGACATTTAATCACTAATTTCCCCCAACGCATGCGTTGACTTACAATAAATACGATACTCCATCTTCATTTTGAGTAGTTTCAAATTTACACAATTTACCCAATTGACTTACTTTACCCAAAACAATGAGTAAACTTGCTCATACATTTGAGTAATTTACTCACTAAGTCACTGTGGGTGTATATACTCGTGGTTTTTGAATAGAAATTCCTTATATTCTGTATTCACGATTTTTACCAGATTTTTATAGATGTGCCTTTGACACGAGTACCAAACTAAAATATCCCCATTGGGCCTAATCATCCTCATAATGGGATTCGAAAGAGTGGAAACGAGCCCAAAGAATCGTTTTGTGCTCAATTCCAGACTGATACTTTTGGGATTGTTTTGAATTTACAGTGATATAATAACGGAGAGAGATTCCGTAAATAACAGGGAAAGCAGGGCTGATTAGTTGAAGGAATCAATATCCAAGGTTGTACAGATATATCGTCACTTGCATCACTTCCGAGACATCTCAAACAGGAAATCTCTGCGTGCATCCTGCGACAACACTGCGCATGCGGATATGTTTTCATCTAAAAGCAAGCTCTCTGTTCTACAATAATTGACAATAATGTTGAACGATATATACCAGTATAGGTATAGTGGTTGCCAGAGGTTCTGTATCTTTCGCCTTATTCCCGCTCGTATTTATTTTACGCGAGGCGAAGAGAACCTCTGGTGGCACGTGATTCAAATCTCTCTTCCTTTGGTACAAAATTTGTACCAAGCACATGATTGGTTAGTTATAATTAGCAGTCACATGAAATGATGTGATTGGCTAGACAAAAAAAAAAAACTGTTTATAAATCTCAGAGAACATGATGTAAACAAAATACAGAAATAATACGAACGTATTAAATTTAAAATGCTTACTCAGTGTGGGTTATTTGAGATTAATTAACTTAGTTTGTTCCGCTATAAAAATATTTTCTGCGCTGGAGAAGAGCTGCCATCGTGGCATGACATGTTCACTCTATACAGTAGTAATATTTGTAAAATATAAAGTGTTGGTCACTTGCTTATCGTTCAAGGTAATTTGGTAATTCTTGACTTTAATAGTTATTAATATGATTTATTTTGCCAATATTTTTCCGTTGTCTGTTTATAAGGATAATAGGTTTATAACCATTGTTGGTTTATAACCAATAACGTTGTCTGTTTATAAGGTTTATAACCATACTGGCTCCGTTGCACACATATGTATAAATATTTATATGTTTATATTCTTTTACTTTTGACTTTATACGTTCGCTAATACAAACGGCAATCCACAATCAGTAAGGTTGCTTTTTGCTTTGTGCGTTGCGAGAATAATCTACTGTTTCTAATAAATAATCTACATGTTTGGCCCGCTTATTTTAAATATTTTACACAAGGCTGCCAAACAGTCTGAACAGAGCTATTTTGGTAGTATGAAAACCCGGAAGTTTAAAAACGTCACAAAATATAAAACCGGTTTTGCAAGTTCTCAAACAGCAACGTCAGCATGGAAGAGAGATTTGTATCGCGTGCCACCAGAGGTTCTCTTCGCCTCGCGTAAAATAAATACGAGCGGGAACAAGCTAGGCGAAAGATACAGAACCTCTGACAACCAGGGTAGGATGCAACTACCTGGTAACAAAATTCTCATTTGTGGCTGTGCGGGTTTTAAATCTCAACTATAATATCTCCCATTCACCCTAAATAATTAGTAACCCTCATAAAACCTATTGTTTTCTCTCTGCATTATATCAGCGATTGTCGAGAAGTTTTAACGTTCTTCTGAAAAACGGGAGCGGTCTTTTTTGATTGTAGGGAAATTCCCAGGGGTAAATGTTTATACGGGCTAAAATAGCACAACACAAAGCATTATTAAAAATATGCAGCGTGCACACAGCATTAAAAATAATGCAGTGTGCATACAGCATTATTAAAAATAATGCAGCGTGCATCAGTGCACACCAGTGAACTGTAATAACACTGGAACGGTAACTGCAGATAAACATGCCCATACTTGCCTGAAGCCAAGATGGCGCTTCTCGCGAGCTCGGCGAGCAATAAATTAACTTTCAAAAGGACTGGGGAGAGTTTCGAGGAGCGGGAAATTCAGTCAAAAGTTTGTTTTTGAGCGAAAATCAGCAAGAAAAAGCACTTCTTTATCAAAAGGCTTCAACTTAAAAGATTCAAACCTGGTTTCCTGGATAGTCCTAAGTATTTTACATCCACTAACAGCAAAAACTTCCTGGGTAACAGCTTGATATTCAAAATATTACACAAGTTTGAACGTGCCGAAAAAAACTTCGCACTTTGGCCATAGATTAAGGAATGAATAGATGGCTCACTCCTTTGATGTTTTTGACGCTGCCGGCGCCCACGCATGTTCTTGCCAGAGTAATGGCGGCCTAGCAAGTAACTGTAGTAAAATGCATTGTAAAATTGACATCCGTGCTATTAAATCCTGTATTTTTCCGCTTTTGGCGGGTTTAATAGAAAGATAAATCAGAATTATAAAAATACAGAATTTAGTAGCACCGATGTCAATTTTACAATGCATTTTACTACAGTTACTTGCTAGGCCGCCATTACTCTGGCAAGAACATGCGTGGGCGCCGGCAGCGTCAAAAACATCAAAGGAGTGAGCCATCTATTCATTCCTTAATCTATGCTTTGGCTCCTGAAAAAATAACTTTAAAACTGGTCTACGTTCTGGAACATGTTTTCTATTAAATTTCAGGTATTGTTAAAAGTTTTTAGCTTTTTTCCTTGTTGAAATACAGCTATTTAATTAGTGGTTGAAAACAGACATCTTTTCGGTGGCGTATTTTCCACTCCAAACGTACTGGCGGCCGTCATGAGTGGCTTCAAAGACGGCCGCCAAAGTTATCGTTCCAGTTCCCTTAGAGTTCACTGGTGCACATCTTCGTCACCCTGACATGTACACGCGATAACGTGAACATCTCAAGATGAGAAGCTGACAGTGCTAAAGGCCCCTCATACAATATCATCGGGCGACTGAAGCACTGCCAAAAACGGTCACTGTGTGTCCTTCAATTTTATAGAGAAATAGTTTCTTTTGCGCTTGTGGGATTTTATCCTAGATATACGCATGTGCAGAACACACCATAAGTTCTATTGCCGTGTTTATCCAGTTTAATACGCTCTTTGAATTAACCTTATCATTAATGATAATATGCAAACTAGAACACTACAATTGACCTCCGCTTGTGGAGATTTTAATTTAATTAAACTGAAATCTGTTCTATCAAGATGCATTACATGCATGTCCTCGCAAATGTCTAGTAAAGTTGGATAGGTTCATTGTCATACGGTCCCGACAAGCAGCAACATAGTCTTCCAGCCGAAAATAATTACTTTTGATTCGGGTCAGTAATTATAATAGATCATTACTTCGGCCAACTGGCATTATTGGATATATTGCAGCCAGCTTCGGCCTCAGCTGGCTGCAATATATCGAATAATGCCGTTGGCCTGAGTAATTATCTAATAAATAATGCTGTCCAATTGCGTTTAAAAATGTGTGGAAAATAATAACATTGGATTGGAAAGAAAGGGCTAAACCCACTGAAGTTAGTTGAATGTGTTTTCTTAAAATGTCGATCTATTGTAATTTTAGTGTGCAAAACGCGTAAGCTTGTACTACCGAGAGAAACTGTATGTTTTGTCATTCCGAGAACGGCAAATGTTTCTCGAAGCAAAGTCGACCTGACTCTTAACTTATCAAACATGCGAGGGAGGGGTCGTGCCTGCTCGATGAACAGCTGAGCCAGCTCTATGGCCGAGAGCATGGTCGGAGCCAATTCGAGCATAGTTAATAGAGATGTTTTGGAAACTTGTTAGCATTACAATAAAATCACAATAAACCTCATTATCCATGTTGTTCAGGTTTATGCAAAAATGTGGTCTTTCATCGTCACGTGCGTATTGTCTTTTTGTCAAGTCAACCAATAGGAATGTTCAAAATGTCCTATTGTTAAAGTCATGGATGGGCAATTGGACAAAACCACAGAATAAAGATCAGTAACAGAAGGGCAACTCAGCGGTGCAACGTGTCCTCGTTTTTTTATGCAAAAATATGCAGTTTACTGGCCAGAAGGCGGAGTAGCCAGCCAGTACAGCGTGTTTATTGGCCAGAAAATGTCATTGACTGGCTAGGAAAATGGCGGCCAACATGC